GCTGCAACAATAATCAGCTTTCTTCTTTCTTCTTTCTTTCTTTTTTGGAACTCAGATTTTTGGTAGATTTTAAGAGGATTTTTTGTCATCAACAAGTTATTTGTGTCATCATGGATCGTCTTGGACCAGAACTATGTTTGAATCGACCTTATCCTATTTGAGAGAATTTAATAGATGAGACTTTTACACGAAAGAAGGTGAATGAACGAGAATTTACACTGTTGTTCTATGAATTTATCGACATGGAAGATGACATTATCTTTAAATTGCATCTAACGGATGTATCTATAAACTTTAAAATGCGTGAAATAGGTTTTAATAATAAATCTCTAAATTTTTTAATTTCACGACTAATAAGTTGTTTTTTAGGTTTAAATTTTCTGAAATTTTAAAAAAAATTTGGAGACATATTAAATATTAAATTGAGAGGGCGAGGTCATGGTCATTGAATTTTAACAAATATTGAATACGTCAGGAACTATTAAATACATAATTAAAAGTATGTGATAGTAGGAATCCTCAGCTGTAAGTACTAATTAAAATTAGTATTTTAGGTTAAAATACTAGTTTGATATTTTATTTTTAGCTTTTGWTCATTTTAGTCTCTATATTTTTAAAGGGTTCGTTTTTGTCATATACTTTCAAATTGTTCATTTTGGTCTCTATTCTCATTTGTTTCTATCACAATTTCAACACGACACTAAAATCAATATTTTCATAAAATGTAAATATTATTTTATTCTAAAAGTTTGTATTATGTGTAAAATTTGTATTAAAATTTTGCAAAGAGGAACTGAAATAATCACATTTTAAAAGTACATGGAACTAAAATAAATCAATGTTGAAATTCAGGGACTAAATAATATTTTAACTTTTTCTTTTAAGTACAACTCTAAGTGTATGAATTCGAATTTACAATTCTTTAATCGGAAATGAATGTCTTAAATCTATTTAAGTACGCTAATTTTCTTCTTAACTTATAATTTTACTAAAAATGTCAATTTCCCCATTCTCTCTCAAAAACAGAAAGCACCAGCCGTCCCGATAACCCTTTTCCTCCCTCTTTCAATCTGTTACCATCACCACGACAACCCCCCTTTTTCTCCTTCTTTCTCCGATCTCATCCGAGCATAGCCACGATTCTTCATCCGCGAAGCTACAAAGAGCGGCGGCGCGCAGTACGGCGACTTCCCTGCGGCGGCGACACCACGGGATTTCAGATCTGCTGCGACGGGGGGTGGTCTGAGCTCTTCGACCGTGCGTTTGGCGATTCATAAACCCACACCCATATAGGTGAGTCAGTGTAATTTATGAGATTTTTGGGTATTGGGACTGTTTATTTCCTTTGTGTTTCTGAATATTTCTTGGGTACTTGGACTGTTTATCGTCTCTGCGATTCTGAACTTTTCTTGGATATTTGGTCTATACATTGCCTTTATGTTTCTGAAATTGGTTTAGTATTTGTACTATTCGTGTTTCTTTCAAATTTGTGGGTAGTTTATTGCCCTTTGTGGCTAAAAGCCCGGCTATATATATATTTTTTATCTTAGATTTTAGAATTGTGGTTTACAACTTCTGTGAGTTGGGATTGGATTTTCGACTAGTTGACTTTTACAATAATTGCGCCCAATGGTGAGGCTTATACCATCATATTATATTAAAGAAAAAGAGGGCCGAGTAATGTGAACTAATAAGACATTTAAAACAATTATTTTTTCTTTGGACCAATAAAATAATAGGATAGGATAGATAAAATTTGGTAACTGGTTGCTGCTAATAACTCCCCGACACTCAATCAATTTCCGAACTAAAAATTTGCTTCCATATACCATGTTTTCCTAATCTAAATTTGACGACCAATGAGACTTTATAGATAGTTGGTGGTGACTCCAAATTTTTCTTGAAAGAGACCTTTCAAGGAAGGACGACAGTGCTCTACGATGTGATGGGCAATCACTTGTGTTTATATTATCTGAAATATTCTTTTAATTTCTTGATCTATTTTTTTTTCTTCTTACGAATGGACGTGTGGTTGATACTTGTTCTAACCTAATGATCTGACAAAAAAAATAAGACTGATATTGAATGAAAGTTGCACCTTGCTTTGTTAGCTTCGTGGTGGTGCCATAGAAATACATAATTCTTTTGTAATTACAGCCTCTCCACAATTATTCAAGATTGGGGAGCTTTTCTTTGCTATTTTCTTTGTTTGTTTTTGTGGAAGGGGCCTTCTCGGCCTTGTCTTTAGGCCGTTCTTTTGTTCCGTTCTTTAATGAAGTTGTTTCTTATATAAAAAAAAACAAGTTGCACCTTGCTTGGGCCATTTCAGTCCTTTGAGGAATGATTTTGCCTTTCACTTACTCTAGTGATTGATAGACACCACATTAATTTCTACCTGAATGTGTTTCACGGCCTTCGTTTTATTTTTATTATTTGTTTTTGTTTTAGAAGATCATAGGGATGAAATGGGGAGCTGATTTTTAGTAAAATTTTCGAATCTCTATTTGTACCATAGACTAAAGAAGACAGCTTGTAACTTGTGAATCATGTAATTTTCTCCCTTTCTTCAAGTTCTCTTCATGGATCCAGAGGCTGCACGAACTGCTCGGGAATCACTAGACCTTGCATTTCATATGTCTAATGTACTCAATGCCGGGATCGATCGTCACACCCTCTCTGTCCTTGTTGCTCTCTGTGACATGGGTGTGAACCCTGAGGCACTGGCTGCTGTTGTCAAGGAACTACACCGAGAGCCCCCCTCATCGGAGGCCATCGTCTCCAGTAGCACGTCGTAAGTCTGTTATTCTGCTCATGGTTGCTGAAGTTGATATAATTTCTTACACCACTTTTCTACATATATTGTTGATAGATGGCTTGGTGTTTAGAGTGTTCAATATTTCACTTATTATGTTTAGCTATTTTGTTGTGTTTAGTTGAACGAGAGTAATATTTTTTTATGTTGTTTACTAAAATTGTATTGTAATTAAGGTCGGAATTTAAATGTTTGGTCATTGTTCTATGTTTCTCAATTCTAGTTTAACCAAAAAAGGAAAAAAAAAAAGCTTTGGTTTCCATTTGTTACTTTTGTTATAGTTTTTCAAAAGTTAGTTTGTTTTTTTACTTAATAAATATGAATGTTGTATTTTTTAACTAAGGTAGTTTTTTTTTTTTAATTTAAAATTTGAGACAACAAGAAATATGAAATAGGAATTAAAATATACAACTTCGATACTCAAAGTTTGCAATCTTATTGGATGATTTGTAATGCTTATTTGCATTAACATGAGATTTTCTCAACGATAATTTAACATCAGCATCAAGGCATCTAATCTCTTCCGTTCAAGATTTTGTAAGAAGAAAAGTACTCATTTTTAATAAAATTGCACTAGCAATTTTTTAATGTTGTGTTTTCTCTATAAAATTACAATTTGACCATATATAATTCATGAGCTATCAATTCGATCGGTCTCCATTCGTCGTGATCATTTTTTTTTTTAGTCATGATTTTGATTGATCTTAAGATGTAAGTAATTGTGTCTTGGTTAATCTCAATTGGTCTCAAGCAAGTCAAGGTGACAATGCATCTCAAAGGTATTTGATTTTGGTCGATCACAAAAGTTACTTCAATCCAAAAATTGTGGTTAAAATGATACATTCGCTAGGAGGTCAGGTAAAAATGATAAATTAAGGTCAAAATTTGTTTTTTTTTTTCTTATTCCTTTTACATTATATAGGTCACATTGTGAATTAATGAAAAGTAAATAAAGGCCACATGACTCGTTTGTATTACTCGCGATTACAACTTAACTTTATATAAAATATATTCAATGATAACTTGAACATAGTTAAATGGTTCAAAAATCTATTTGCACGATCAAAATGTCATGAGTTTGAATCTTCATTTTCATGTAATTAGTTGATGATAGAGCAAAACAAGATTTGTATTGTTGATATTGATTTCTAATTTAATTGAATTAGCCATCATTTCAAGCTTAGAGTAGTGCAAATTTAACTAGACTACCCCATTGATTTACCATTAAATACTCGTTAACTTAATACAGGGTCTCCTCTCTTCTCTTAGAAATACTAATTCATTTACCTTTAATATCTATTGATAACTCTTTCATGTTAACAAAATAGATGATTTCTCAAAGAAAATAAAAAAGATGATGTCATCAAGCCATTATATGCTTCTACAAAATAATAATAATAATAATAATAATAATAATAAACAAACAAACAAAATAAACAGACAAACAAAAAAGATCAATGGTTCATAAATATGGTTTTTCAATCTCTTGTTGCTAAGAGAGATTCATCCACCTCGTGCTCGAGTTACATATTTGAATAAGATGAAGAACTCGTTTAATTTTCTCATTACAAGTTTCATTTATACCATGGATTCAACTATTTAAATCTTAAGAAATTACAGAAAAACGTTGATCAACTCTATGTAATTAAGATTTTTATCCTTGGTTCTTCATCAAAGACGATCAATCATCTCAATAGTTGAAGAAGAAGATCAAGAATCAAATTAATCAAGGGTTCTTCAATGAATTAGAGAAATAAGAAAATCAATAATCCACACTACATGATTAATTAAGGGTTCTTCAATGTCTTGTTATACATTGATAGAGAGTCATTCATCTCAAGTGTGAGTTACATGGTTGAAGGACGAAAAAAAAAAGAACTTTCCAACTTTCTCCTCACAAATTTGATATTTAGGACTTATACCATGAATCCAAATAATTCACTTTTTTTTTCCTTTTCTTTTCCCATGTGATCTTAGCTTTTTTCCTACTTTATGTTTGGTTCAAATTTTGGTCATTGGTTAAATTTCTTGAAATATTTTAGATTTGTCAATAATATTATACTTTCTAACATAAAGTAAAGAAAAAATCTAACGTGACGTATTTTCTTCAGATGTCCGCTCCTCCTATTTCTATTACGTCTAAATAAAACATATGAAGTACTAAAAAAAGCCACAAATGATCCAGAATGGTGCAGAAAGACAAATGAGGGGACGGCAGGGCAACTACGTTAAAGAAAAAGCACAACTAAAAACTTCGTTATAGAACACACAAATCCAAAGCATTAGAAAGGAAACTACCATGAATTCACTTTCACTGATCTCCAGTGGTTGAGACAGAATCCACAATACTCCCAACAATCTCCTTTGACTCCTTGAGCAACTTGATACTGTTCTTCAGCTTCTCCCTTTTCACAGACAGTGATGGTGACTCCTCCAACATCCTCTCGATCCCACCCCCCGTCGGGTTCATCAGCTCGCCAATCGTCTCCCTCTCGATCTCCTTGTTCACCAGATTCTGCACGCTGTACTGCAAGTACAGCGCCGTGCTGTCCACCATTCTCCTCAACACAATCTTCCAATATGCCGTCATCCTCATCTTCAAGTCAAAAGCCTGCTGAAGAACATCCGGATGCTGCCACAGATTCCCAACTTCCACCTGTCCGAAATCCTCGATGAACACAGAAGCCGGGTGGTAATCGCTTCTCAAGACTTGATTTAAGAATGCCTCCTGATGAGCCATGAGCTTGCTCCATTCTGTTGTGTATGCAGCATCACAGGTGTAGTCTGTGAGCTTCTCCATTTCTACAACCTCTGTTATCCAGCTCACCGATCTGTCTTTCATCGCTTCCACAACGTTCTTCCCAGCTCGTCTTATGGGCTTCTGGAGCTGTGGATAGTGTTCCGAATGGTGCATCAGCACGGCGAGGACGATGGCCTGAATGTAGTCCCAAACTTTCATGGAAAACTCGACAGGTAAATTAGATATTGTATTCACTTTCCTCTGCAAGATCGAGAGGAAGGCGGCGCGGGGAAGGAAGTTTGGGAGTCCAATGCCTCTAGATTCCTCCAAGACTTTGATCTCTTCCATTAGGAAGTTGGCTGTGTTGTCAGTTTTGATACATTGGTGAAGCTCGAGCGAGTACTGGTTGATCATCTCGACCATCCGGGCTGTCGAATGCATCTTTTCGTCATCGGGGAACTCGTCATATTCTCCTCGGAGGAGGACCTTTCGAAGGGACTCTTTAGCTTGTCCAATGATCTGCATAAATGTCGTCATCGCCTCAGCGACTGTCGATAGTTTCTTCGGCATCTTGTTAAGCTCAGCGATGTTTGCAGCTAACTTTTCATTGATCTGCTTAACCACTTCTGGCATGCATCTTGCTATGCTACCTGTTCAAGAATACATATAGAACATTAAATATATTGTTGATACCTTAATAATAATGATTTTGAGTTTTGAGACTAGTTTTATTACCTGCTTGGATTTGCACCAACTTTTGAGCCAGGACAGGAATGCCCGCAATGGATTTGTCAATCTGAGAGAGAAGAGGATGAGTTGTGAACAGTTTGGCTTCAGCAACTCGAGCTTCCTCGTACGTCTCATCACCGATCCGATTCCTAACGCAGACATAACCAAGCCCGATATTGACATCGTCGGCAGTGACCTTCTCGTGCAGGCCTTCGGGCGCCTTATCGGACTTGGTCACCACTGCCAACGTCCTCATCCCAGCCTTGTCAACACTCTGAGACATTCGGATCGACTCACAAGTTGGAAAATCGACGGTTGCAGACAAGACATTCAAGATGATGCTCTCTTCTGGCTTAATATACTCCATGATTATATTTTTTACTTGGTCATAAATGTCTTCAGGCTGGCCTTGAACAGGCACTCTAGTAATTCCAGGTAGATCAACCATGGTAAGATCAGGAACACCATTTTTCTTCACTACCAAAGTCAGAGGTGTTTTTGATATCCCTTTGCCAGTGCCAGCAATCTCCTCTGTGGCTGTACCGATGTCTTCTGCGATGAACGATTCGTCTGTGTGGATCGTTTTTTCGTTGTACTCCAAAATAAGCTCGGGTTCGGGATCAGGGTGGTTCTGGAGCCTCATTATCAGAGGCACCCTGGTGCAGATGCCCTGACCTCGAGGCAGGCTGATGCCAGCTAACGACTCGAGGACGCTCGACTTGCCTGATGATTGATCGCCGACAACAACTATGGTAGGCAGTTGGATGCCTTCTCTCATGATCATGAGATGACGGAGCTTGTCTACGGCATCGAGGAGGGGGCGGATCCGATCGTTGTAGGAGACGATGAGGGGTGGCCCCGATACCAAATGGCTGTGGTTGCTTGATTCTCCTTGATGAACAGATGAACTACCATTACTGTACTGTGCCATTCTTTTCCTGCAGCCTCTGTGGGGGCAAGAGATCATGGTTAAACTTTGAAGAGACACAGAGATTATAAAGAAGGCTACGCTTTGATATGCATCATGAGCAAACTACAAATATAAACATAAATATATATAGTTTGTTTCCAAGGGCTTGTTCCATGACATTTCCATTTTTTCTTCTAGAAATTAAATATTTGATAACTATTTATATTTCTAGTCAAAATTTTATTAAAAAGGARCAAACAAGAAATGTTCTCATTACCAAATAAGCCTTCAAATTTTTGTTTCTAGTTTTCTATTTCTTGTTTTGGATCTATGAAATGCATCTGAGTAATTATTGTTTCTAGTTTTGAGTTTCAATTTCTAATTATTTGAGAGCAAAAATAAAAGTGTAATTTACTTTTTTTACTTATAAAATGCAAAATAAATTTAAAAATTAAAATGTAATTTTGAATATATATATTTTTAAAAATCTTTTAAAATTTATTTAATCTAAAACTTGAGAGGGCAACAAATAATAAATAATTAACAAACACACCATCTTTATTTTGTTTTTCATAAAAAGAAAGAACGAGCAACAAGAAACAATTACTAAACACATATATTTTTATTTTCTTTCTAAAAAAAAACAAGAACATTTTCATATCATGGTAAACAGTGTCATAATATTCTTTTACACAGAGAAAAGAAAAGGAGAGAAAAAGAAAGTTGGCATGCTTGTTGATTGTCAATTTGTGTCTCCAATTTTTCATAAATTAAAAGCTCCCCGTCAAGCAAAGTTTAAACTTTAATTTAGATTGCAATGGAGGACAAGAATCTTCACCATCTTTCTTGTTAATCATTTTGTTTGAATATAATTCTTTTTCTTGAAATAAAGTCGTAATTCAAAAATATATTTCATGCTCGTCATTTTGTTTTGGTTTTTAAAATTTGCACTTGTTATATTTAATCACTCAACTTTCAAGATTCTTTTGTCTCATAATTTAGCATTCACGTGCATTGCACGTGTTTTTTCAACATTTGTAAAAAGTGAAATTTAAAATTTATTCAATATAATATGAAAATAAAAAGTAACCATAAATTTAAAATTGTACTAATTGTTCATTTTTGAAATACAGTATTTATTTGTTTGTTAAAATTTTATTTTTTTAGTAAAAAACTTRCAATGTTATAGAGTAAAACAATAAAATTGAGTCGTATGAAAGGATATGAATATAATGTAAATAATTAGTTATTGTCGATTTTCAATTAGGACTAATTTCATAAATTCAAAGGAAAACAGTGAAAGTTTATTGTCCTAATCAAGACATAGTAACTAAAATTATAGTATGTAATAAAAATGTTCGGTCCAAGAAAAAAAATGTTATAATTAGATATTTAAAACTATAATCAAATATTAATTATGTAGCAAAGAAGAAAAGTACAAGTTTATTCCTATCTCAATTTACTTTTTAAAATTGAAAAATAAAATGTTTATCTAATTTTGAAAATGAAGTTATTTGAAACTTAAAAAAATGATAAGTACAATTACATCTATAAAAATAACATTTTGTGGTTTAAAAAAATGGTTTGTTTAGAAATAAAAGATAAAATAAAAAGAATACAAAAATTAAAGTGCAAATTGGAAAAAAAAAAACACAACAGCAATAAACTAAAAATAGTAATTTTGAGAAAAAATTATAAATGAATTATGAACTAAAAACAAAAACAAAAAGATAAAATGGCGGAGAAAGTTCCTCCTCACCTTTACACATGGTGTAGATATCAATTATTTTCAAACTCATAGAATATATTAATAATTCTTATTTTTTATTTTTTGTTTTGATGATTTAAATTAATTGCTAATTTTAGAAAATGATGAATGGATATATTGAGATTGGATCAGCATAATGAAACTCCCAAATTTGAAATTATTACATCATTAAGAGAGAGATATGATATTTGTAAGATAAGCATACAGAACCACCATTTTTTTTTTTCTTTTCTTGAAAAAGCTTAATTCCCAGATTTGAAAATATTACATCCTTTTAGAAAGATATGATATTTGCAAGAAAATCAAAATTGACAATTTGAACTGAAATTTTTAATAGTTATCATATGTTTTATAACGAGCCATTAAGTGTATTTCAATAAAGATGAAACTAACACTTGATAAGAAATGGAAAAATGACACCAATCATAATATTATAAACTGAATAATACATTTATTCGCAACCAAAAAAATAGAAAGGTATTAAAATCATGACAAAAATAGAAAACTCCATAGAAAAAGGATGCATGGTTGTCAAGGTTGCCAATTTTAGATGTTAAAATTTACATGGAAGAGTTTTAAATAAATTAAATAAAAAATAAAAAAGACACCAAGAAGTTTGCTTGAGTAGAATTCTTGAGGCAATAAAAAAAGAGAGTCAAAGTTGTTACGAGTTTTAATCCAGAAAT